CACATGCTCTTATTTGCTTTCACATATTTTACAAGTTGGGGTGAGGTGGGGATTTATATGGTCACTTTCTATTTTAAAACATAGTATGTTCCTTTTGCTCCAAACAAGAACAATCCTTATCTTTCCTCTTCCAATAATTACTCCAGTCTTAACTTTGTAGAAATCACACTGTAAATGAGCAATAAACATGTCTTGTTTTCAGTGTTAGCCAGCGCTGGAAGAGAAAGAACAGCAAATATCTCCCAGCCAGCGCAGACATTCTGCCTTCCAGATTACAGCACATTGCTTTGCTTCCTTCAAATCCTGTTTACATGAGCAAGGTCAGGGGATGGAACATTAGAGAGCCTCTACAGTGATTTCCTGCTGCTGTCAGTAAAAACTACTGAGACATCATCAGCTTTCCCTTGTTCCCAACAGCTTATCAGGGTCTGGAGGTTACTGATGTATTGCCTTACAGACCTGGAAAAAAAAAAAAAAAACACTAAACTACCTCAAAACTAAAAGTAAAAGAAGAGGATGAAACAGGAGGAAATAATCCCAAAGGGAAACAAGACTTCCAATTTTTCCTTTTCAACAGCTCAGAAAACAAAGGCAATATTAAGCTGCTTGAAACACGGAGAAGGGGTGGGAGAAAGGCAGTAATGCTTTCAGAGTCTTCAATGAGATAGAAAGGAGAAAGAAACACCACCCGCAGCCCTCAAGTCTTGACCCCAACTCAGTGAATATTTTCAGAGTGCAAAAGGCTAGAACGTACCTCATTTTTAATAACTGCAACATATGAAAGCTCTTACCATTGGAAGAGTCAGAGCATTATGCAATTAGTAAAGCATATATAGCTTGTTTTGTAATGGTTTCAGTAACACACAGAAGAATTAAATAAATTCATCAAATTCAAAGCTATTTTTCTGACAATAATAATACACAGGCAGGAATTCTTAATGTTTTGTAATTATAGTGCAAAAGAAAGCAGCTCCATACTGGAGACTACACTGAAGTTTTTCCACTGACACAATGACCACATTCCCTTCACTAAATTTACAAAGAAAGTTGCATCCATGTGAGCCTTAGACGAAACCAGGATTTTCACCATGTTCAAAAAGAACTGGCCTTACAGCTTTAAGTTAGAACACAAGCTGAAAAGATAAGGCGCTTAGAGTTCAGAGAGTATAATAATTTAAGTGTTCTCTAGCAAAATCCCTACAAGAACATTCATACCTGCATATCTTGGCATAATCTTTGAAGCAAGAAAATACAAGTAAATTTTAAAACCCCACATAAGTAGGCATTTTAAATGTAGAAGTTGTTATGGATTGTTGGCTTTGATGAAGCAACAAATTAAAATTCCTTGAAAAGAAGAGGAGGAGTGGGAGGAAGAGATAATACCAGTATTTCCTCATACAGATAAAGCTCAAAATATAAATGAATTGCTAAGAAAATATCTAAACATGTATTTTAAATTCACAGTAAAAAAATCAAGAGTGTTACATTTTTAAATATGTGTTTTTCAAATATTCTCCAGGCAGACTGCTGTCAAGAATAGATGACAGTGAAACTTAGTGCACTTTAATTATCTGGACTTGTGTGTCCTGTTTTGGGCTTCTCGATGTAAGACATTGACATCCTGGAGCAAGTCCAGCAGAGGGTGAGCAAGATGGTGAGGGGGCTGGAACACATGATACACAAGAAAAAGCATAAAACCAGGTTTGTTCAGCCTTAAGAAGGACAGATACAAGGAGATCTTACCACCACCTCAAATATCTAATGGGTAGGCAGAAAGAAGACAGAGACAGACACTTATTAGAGGACCACTGTGATAGAATTAAGAGGCAACAGACATGTTGGAACATAGGAAATTCTAGCTATGTATTATTAAAAAAAAAAGTTTCACCAGCCAAACACTATAGCAAGCTGCCCAGAGAGGTGGTGAAATCTCCATCCTCACACAGATTAACAAATGAACTGGACAAGGCCTTTAGCAATCTGCTTGAAGTTGGCCTTGCTTTAAGGGGGAGGGTAGATGAAATGAATCCAGATATCCCTCTAAACCTATACTGCTCTATCATTTTTATTAACAAATCTTTACAGAAGGGAAGAAAAGGAATACCTGTCATCTTACAGGAAGTAACAGCACATTTCCTATCACCAGCAGGACAGGACACAGTTCCAACAGCTGAAGGAGGAACTCTCCTTCTCCCAATTCTCTCAACAGGGAGAATACTTTCTCCTACTTCCTGGAATAGCTTGAGGTCTATAGGAGTTTCCCTGCTTATCATTAGGAAATTTGATAGCCATTCAAGAAAACATTATGAGGTTTTGTATAGACTTCCAATCTCCCTGAAGATATTTTAGGGAGCTTTAGGGGACTCATCACAGATCCCACAAAAGTTTCAGTGTTGTTACTTGTCCCAGAAAGATATACTTGAGACAGTGATCCAAGAAAGGCTGTATCACTCTTCTTCAGTATAAAAATTAAAGTAAGTATGTTGATTAGCTACTTCCAGAGGTCCAGAGTCTTGCCAAAGTGTTCTGTAAATAACCCTTAGGGCCCTGCTGAGTTACACGCGTGAAAAAGACATTGAACAAGAACTCTTAAAGATACGTCAGTGCAGCACGCATTTTTCTGTCTACACATACCAGAAGGGCAGAAGAACTGCTTGAGCTAGAGCAAAACACTTTAAAAAGAACAAGTAGGTATGTAGATAGGACGTCTGTAAATTAACCTGGCAACCTGATCAAAGACTTTCAGTCATTTGAACAGCCTTATTCCAGTAGAAGTAGGACCAAAAAGCCATAAGGTCTTGACAAGTTTGCAGGGTGGGGGGAAGAAAAAAAAAAAAAAAAAAAGAGAGAGAGAGAGAAAAGTGTACAGTGATAACTGTCTTTGATAACCAGTAGAAAAAGAGCAACCCAGGAAGGCTGGAATCAAGGAGAGGGATGGGGGAAGAAGATAAATTAGACTAGAGGTTGGTAACCTCAAGTTAGAGGAGGATTAAAAAAGTAAATACACACATAAAAAAAATGCACGAACACAGTATCATTCATATGAGGACAAAGAGTGTATCAAGAGGAAATCTGGCAGTTGAAGGTAGGATGGGAAGAAGTCCAGCATCTGCCCTTCCCCCTTTGATTTTTATGAAGAATACATAGAGAAGCCTCTATACATTAGGAAATTGAGCCAGCTTCAGTTGAAAAGGTCCATGTCACTAAGAATTAAACCACTCTGGAAACACAAAGACACAAAGAGACTGGATGGCTGGTGATAATTCCACATACAACAGAAGCTGGTAATGCAGCAGACAGACTCTGGACAGGATGACAACACTAAAAGATGAGTTGAGATCAGAAAGCATGGAGGACCAGATAGGTTGGCAAAGCTGGGAAAAGTGTTCCTTACTACAGGGGAGGAAGGATGCTAGTGTCTGAGAAAACATGCAATTGGTTTCTGGATTTCTGTCAATAGCAGTGTGTTGGACAGAGCAGCTGGCCTTCAGGCTGTAGTCTAGTAATAAGGGTACAGAAATGTTGCTAGATGGAAAAAAGATGCAGATGGTGAATGCTGAGATGCAGAAAGGTGAACATCAACAGTGAACAGGAGATCAAGACAAGGAAAACAAAAAAACATAGTGGTTACTGACACAGTCAAAAGGCATGAATAGTGAAGTAACATTTTTGTAATGAAGACAACTCTAAAGCCAGCCAGCAATCAAAAGGATGCTGTCTCTAGTGGGTCAACTTATTCCTGCTCTGAGTTCTCGGCCTAAAGTTTTATAAACTGCTCTCATATCAAACGAATTAAATGAAGATTAAGTGATTGGCAGATTTATAGGTATGTAACAAAGAATGACAGTGTAAGCATACATTTGAATTCTGTGATCAGTATTAAGATGAGGAAGTAACAAACACAGAGTATTTTAAAGTGATAGGTAGCCAATAAGTTATATCCACCACAATCCACTATCTGTCAAGCCTACTAAAGAGATTTCTGTAAGTCTGCAAATTACTTTTGACAGAAGTTATCTTAAAATCCTCCATATTTCCATTGTGAAAACACAATGCAAGAACTGCTAAACCTTAAAATATATGAAATTATAATCTCTCAAATGAAAGTTATATGATTATTTGTTTTGAAGAAGAGATTTCTCTTAGACATGAACCTCTATATCATGATCTTCAATAAATGACCTTAAAGAATTTTATGAAGTACCTTCGCAACATACATTTTCATATAGCATCCATGACAAAATAGAACAACAGAAACCACCTGCCTATTTGTATGTATTAACTGTTCAGCCACACAAACTCTTGTTATGGCAACTAAAATTGCTGAAAATGTAATTTATGCCTTTATAGGAACAGATTCAGAGCTAAAAGAGAAATTCTCATTTTAACCTAATTCTAGAACAGTACGTCTTTTAGATTTCATACCAGGAGAGCATATTTCTCCTCCTACGAAACTACCGTTAAAACATTGCCTTCCTTTCCTCCCACATGCTATACCAGTGTCATATGACAAGCTAACACTAGAAGGATCTAATCCTATGATTCTGTCTTCAGATGTGTTACTTTTTTTTTTTTCTTCCTAGAGAACTACTAGATGCCTTAAAAGGAAAAAAAATTAAAACATCACTTTTAGAATATTATCAATGAGGCAACTGTTCTTGAGATTTCTCGTTATTTGGAAACAAAGACAGAGTTACAAAAGGTGTTTGAGAATAAGCCAAGAATTTTAACAGTACTATTTAGATATAATTAGCATGGGCTTATAATGAGAATTTCTGCTTAGTATATGCGTAAAATTACTAGTATAATGTGAAAGCTTTGCTATTGCGCCATCTTCTGGTTAGCCTTGGAACTGTAAAAGAAAGCTTAAATTGAGAAGCTAGGCTATTGAGCTCTGAGGAGTTGACAGTTGTTAAAAAAATATTACATTCTTACAGACAGAAAGAACACGTTTCTGGTAACACGTTAGTTTAAACGATACCTCTCAGAAGGCAACTTACTGGAGCACTGAAAGATGAAGAGGAACTAATCTCTATGACGGGTGGGTCAAGTGTTTGTGTATTAGTCACATCAAAGGTAGGGTTGACCTGTTGAAAATGAATTATAATATTATTTTTTCAGCACCAGTAAAGAAAAGGGAATAAGACTGAAATAAAAAGGACCACTTGCTACATTAAGGCACCTCTATTCACTAAGGACTAGAAACAGGCTTTAAAATTTGTAAAAATAAAGGTAGGACGTTACCCTCCAACTGTGTAAAATGCAATCAATATAATACAGTAAGAGAATCCAGATTTGCATTTATTATAGAAATATAATTTATACTTTATAAACATCCATCACCCAAAACTAACTCAGGGGATTCTGACCATAAGAGATGCAAGTATTAAGAAGTTCAGTTGTCTGACAAATCAATAAAAATGAAGTTACAAATATTAGTTTGAAACAGATTTACTAAGGCAGCTAACTCAAAATGTGCCCAAGGCTGAAGTCATGCAATTAACAGAGTGGCCAAGGATGTTGCTGAAACACTAAACAGCAGGAAGTATTCAAACAACTTCCCAACTCTAACTGCCACTTGCAGGTGATTTTGAAAGTTTTTGCACAACTATAAGGGCTCCTGAAAGTCACCTTTGAGTTTTACTTTCCAGCATCAATCTCCTGGGGGTGCAGTTGTAAGCCGTATTTCCTATTCCTCCTTCCACCAGGAGGACCGTCCCTGGCAGAAGTGGTGGACTGCCCTGGATAAGTCTGGACTTGAGCGCTGCCTTCTAGCAATGATGCTTAATTAGTCGTTACAGTCCAAGGACAGCAGCAGCCCTGCACTTGTGGAGGTTTCCATGTATAACTATGCCGCTCTCCATTTTTTTAATGTTACACCGGTCCCCTGCCTGTTGTATTTTACTTAGGGCACATCCTTACTCACAGTCTCACACTGCAGCTTGTAAGTCCCACTGCCATTCCTGTTTCAGCTAAGATCAATGTGGTTGCAGCCACTCTGGCTCAGCAACGCATAGGAAGGTGTGCACCAAGCCAGCTCCTAAGCCCGAGCTGCCTCACTGATGTGGTGACATCATTAGCAGCAAAGCTGAAAGTAAGCACACACTTAGCAGCTCGGATCGATCAGTTCCCAACTCACTCTCAAGTTCCTCAAGCCATCTATCGCAACCAGACTGACTGTCAACAGGTAGGAGGTAACACTGACATCTGTCATAAGTTAACTGGCCAAACACAAACCATGTTGTTCCTAAAACCACAGGAAAAGCTGCTTTATAACTAGGATGTCATCATTGTCTGACTGATCAGGTATGTCATCACAACATCTGCAACTTTGACATCTTAATATCACAGTTGGACTATTCACTTATTGTTGGTTATAGGAGTTAATCTATAACTTTAGCAATATTTTTCTGATGTTCTTTCTTGAAAGTGAAGTATTAACAAAATATAAAGCTTGAGAAGGCTGCTGCTTTTATTTATCTTACGGTTTCACCTAAGGATCATAATATCCTCCCTACAAAAATCTGTGTGTGTGTTTTCCCTGCCGTTGTTTTACCTAGGTGTATCAGAGCCTAATATGTTTGCCCTCTCAGCGTAATGCATGGAAGTATTATTTTATTAACTGACAAAATTCACAGAAAGACTAGATGAATTTGAAATCACCAAGAAGTCTGGTGTAGTAAAGAGAAAGGAACCCTCCTCTTTTGAACTTTTTATCAGTAATCCAACAGTGGGCTTATCAAAGACAGCATTAATTACCCACCTTAGTGGAAAAAAAAATAAAGAAAAACTCCAAAACTCACACTTGCCTAGTGACAGGGTTATATTTTAGTTGCTGAAAGTTTATTAGATACAAGGGTCATTTTATTTTGCTTTTTTTGAGGAGAAAGAGCCTACCATTTCACCTGAAGACTGTCAAAATTCTGGCTTAGCTTAGCCAGAGCTGCTCACTCAGTAACAGCTTCAGTGCTATTTCCACAAGCAAAAAAACCCTGATGCTAGGGTCCACATGTTGGCACAGAGACTTTTAGGTCAGAGATCCATTTGTTAGGTAGCCAGAATGAGATCTCATAACTGGAATTAGTAGCCAGGGAAGGCAGACAATAGCATCTTGCACTGCCTGAACCCTTTTCATTCAGTTCATTTGGACTTCCATAACTTACATGCAGAAATTTAGGTTAAAACTAATAGAAGCAAGATCTTCCTTGGTAAATGCAGGTGGAAGAAGGAGGGGCATGGGGTGGGGAAGATGAACAAAGTTTGCTAGCAAGCTAGAAGGCAAAAAGACATCTAAATACAGATGTTACCTGATTATTAAAGCAGAAAGCGATCCTCACAGTTTGCAGCACTTACAAATCAGAGATTATAAGCCTTCCTTAAGGGGAGATATTAATTCTGTTTTTAAGCTAGTCCACCTTTCTGTCTAGCATTGCTTTGCTCTTTCTTGGACTCTGTTTCAACAAGCCATTCTTCATCTATGAGCTCTTTTTTGTAGGTATTATCTCTTAATTCAGATTATAGTTGCATCAGTCAATAATGACCTACCCAGAGACAATCAGGAAAACAGGGCCATCAGAGCTGATACCTTCAAATTCTCCCTCACTTTGTAGATATTAGAATCAAATCTTGATTTCTTCCAATTTTGTCAAATGGACTCGGAGGAAAGAAAGAGAACCAAAGCCAGGTAACATGGTCTAAGTAATAACTTTGCATTTATCTGAAAGTTCCACCATTTTAACTGGACTTCTCCTTTAGTTTCTTCTCTACAAAAATGTGATTAATGAAAGTCTCCTCTGCATATAGTATTGTTTACTGCTTTATCAGGGTTCAGGTGAGGAAGAAGGGAGCTGCAAATTCTATTTTTTCCCCTCTATATACACCCTGTTTATTTAGATTAAACAGACAACTCTCCTAAAGAGCTCACATTTGTTTAGTGCCCAGCATAACCAGGGTCATTTGCTTCTGACCTTGAGAACCTGTAATAAAGATCATCAGCATGTTATCTGAATGTCAGTCACACTACAAGCAGCTAAGCCTAAAATCTTTTTCTGACATGCATCATTTGGGCACTGAGAGGACAACACACCTGCAGGACTCTACAGAAGAGGGACAGCAGGTGCCTATCATCTATCAATACTCCAATGTAGAGGAGCTACTGTAGTATTATTACTAATAGCTCTTGAAACATCTTATTTGAGATAATATCTCGTTGTTACATACATATTGTAGAATGAGTTAAATGCTTTTCTGGATATGGGGTTGCTAAATAACTACATGGTATGATTAAGTTAAGAAAACGTGCTCTTTATGTGGAAGTGTCACACCCTGGAGCTAGAATGAAAGTCTCCTCTGCATCTAGTTCTGCTGACTGCTTTGTCAGAGATAATGGGAGGATGCGGGGCATTGCAAACACTGACCACAGGCCATAAAAGATATACCTATATATAGAGATACGTAAAATTGTTAAGCAACAAGTCAGAAATAGCAAAGTGTCTAAAGAAAAGAGCACAAAAACATGAAGGCTGTAACTAAACCCTTCCTGCAATTATTCATATCTAATGTTGCACTAAAAATCAATGAGGTAATGAAATGAAGCCAAGTAAAAGTTTCAAATGACTTGACATTTCCTGTCAAGGTGGTGTAGTTACCTGTCAAATACTCTCACCAAACATATTTGGAAAAAATTTAACTTTAAAAATAAGACAGAAAAAACAGAACACTAAAAAGCAAGGTAACGAGAACTGTCATGTATTAAAGGTTTTCAAAAAATCACTCTTCCAGAGCTTTCCTTTAATTACCTAGTAAACTGATATATAAGTATTTTCATTATCTTCTTCTAATACGACGATACAATTATCATATTTTGATCCATAGCACAAGAAAATATACTTGAAGGAAGGTTTCTACAGAACCCTTCATGTAAGGAATTACAGATTTCTAAAGACTAAAGTGGAGTGAAACCAAAATATTTAAAGAAAGTGAGAGGCGGGAATTAAGTTCACTACTTAAGACAGAGAACCATGGGAGGAACAGAGCAGCAGGTCCAACTGAGTGTGTGATTCTCAGCCATATGCTTTACATAAATGATTGTACCCCTACAGAGATACCTCTGTTGATTTTAATAAAGCATATCTAATCTCAAAAAAACGCTCCACCATTCACTTTATTTTTGTAATGCATTTCCTAAGACATTGGTCTTATATCAAAAAAAGTAAAAATTAATAAAATTAAAAGAGGAAGTTTTATATTACTCACACAAAGTATTTCCTAGAAAAGTGATGAGCTAACTGTGACACAGTGTCTCCAAACATACCAAGAGTAATTTAGCTTTCAATTTGATTAAACATTGTTCTTTGTGCTAGACTGGAGCCCTCAAGCCAAGCAAGACATATATTCTTATTTCTACTGCCACCTAGTGTATATTTGGATTTCCTTCATCTAAGAAAATATTTACAACTGAAATTACACTGAAAATTTTAATATGAAACTAAATCAACAGTGGCTTTCATGCTCAAGATATAAACTCCACACATCTTAATATGTTCAAACCTCAAAGCTATGTTTTTAAAGGAGCCTGTTATTTCTATCTTCAGTCCACTTTAAAGAAATCTCTAATATATGAAAGAGTAATTATGTACAAACACAGGAAATTCAGAAATACAACTGTCACCAAGTGGAATGCATTTCTTTGAGTATATTGCACTAAATCAGTGTTACTGATTAAACATACTATTTTCAAATATCTCCAAAAACTCCTTATTTAAGAGGGAGACAATGACTGGGATTTATCTCAGCTAAATTTAGACACGCTGCTAGACACCTGTATTTGAGCTGGTCACCTAAGATTACCTCTGTGGGCAACAGAGAAAAAGTAGGCGCCTTTGGTGAACAAGCAGTTTACATTTCCAAATTGTCTGAATAATTGTAATGATTATAAGTTTTAAACATCTACTTGCTCAAATATTCAAGAAACACATTGATCAGTGCAGCTGGAGAACAGTTGTAAAGATTTGTAAGTCAAGAATGTGAAATTCAACACTGTGTTAAAATTCAGGCTACTGCTGGTCTAAAGAGGAGGAGATACAAGTAAGGAATATCTTGTAAGAGTTAATTATGCTTCAAAAAGTAGGTACGGAGAAGGAAAAAACTGAGAAGTTATGTTAAATATTACTGGCTCTGTGTATAGCTTTGAAGAGTGAATAAGGAAAAGTTCTGATAAAAGGTGAAAGCACACTCAAGCTCCATGTTTCTTAACAGCCCTTGTGCAAGTTGGTTTTTTCAAAACAGCATTTCCAGCTCACAATGTGAGAAAACACTCTAATTGTCTCTATGAACCCAGCTGAATAAATTCTGAGCAAAGCCAGCTCCATTTTGTGTGTACTATTTTCCCAGAATCAAGTTCAGGAGTAGCATGGGACCTTGCCTCATTAAGGCAAGCAGGGACAGAGAAGCAACAACTATCCAAAGGCAGTAGGAAACCTGGAGAGACATGAAACATCAGGAATTTAAAAAGCATGGACAGAATTACTTCCCTCGAGTTCTACCTGTACATCTGTTTATCTTTTTTGTGTTCTGCCACTTTGAATTTTATCCTAAGGCAATCCATCTTCTGTCCTGCTATAGAGGTGACTAAAGTTAACCAGCTCAGCATAACTCAGGGTAATGTGTTATATCTAAAGTCTCTAGATGACATTGTAGTGGCTTGTAGCAAAACCTTAAAATGTCATCTATACTTTTAAATATCCCATATTTGAACTGCCGGCCTATAACTCTTGCATATGTTACCAGGTCTCTTAAAATACCGTTACTTCAGTTTAGTTAAGATCAATCATCTTCCCCTGGTTCTCTGTGAAAAAGAAAATAAACAGAAAGTAAGCAGTTCTGCATTTTATCTGAGGTGCAGATGAGATACTAGGAAAAACCGTGTCATTGCAATTGCTGTGCTGTAGTGGAATAGATCACCCAGAGAGACTGGGGAATCTCCATCCCTCTTTACGGCCCCCTAACTAGACACAGCTATGGCTGACTTGATGTACCACCGGCAACAAGAGCAGATGACCTCCAAAAGCTCCTTCTGACATGTTTGTGATTCAATTCCTCCTTTCCCTGATATGTTAGAAGCATGATAAGCCATAGACAGATGAGGGTGGTGTTAACAGTGGAACTGCCTTGTGCTAAAATTCTCTCTGTCACTTGTGGCTTGGAAAGAGGTTGTGATGCTTAAAAAAAAAAAAAAAGTTTGTTTTATTCTCCCGAGTGCAGCATAGCACAGTGGGGCTACAAAGGCTGCTTTTCCTCAGTTACAGGAGGAAATATTTAAGATGGAACACTGAAAAGTTTCAAGCATAGTTAGTGCCACTAAAGCATGTTACTGCTGGTAGTAACCTGATACTAGTTTCCTCTGGATAAACTATGGCTCTGTCCAGATGGTGAGGTCCATTCTTCCTCACCACAAAAAAAACCCAAAAAACCATAACTGTTGTTGAGACAGGCAGGAGAGGCAGTAAAAAAAGGAAGAGACATATGGAGTAACAAAACTTGATAACTTCACTTTAACACAGTCTAAATTATTATATTATTACATTAATTCTGAAAATAAGGTGCAAAAGAGATTCTAATCATTATTATTATATTATTTAAATTTACACATATAAAAATGTAGTACATTACAGTAATAGCAGTTTTGTTGAAAGTATTAGACACTGTTCTGCCTCAAAGAATATAATATACTTCATATTTATTTGAGAGCAAGATATTCTACAGATAAGGTTGCTGTGTTTAGTTTTCTGTTAACATCACATTATATTTAAAATCCTGAAATCAGGCCAGAAAACACACCACAAGAGTCAAAAACTTTGCTACGGCAAATGACAAAGCTGTAGAGCCCTTTGACTACTACGGAACAGCTAACCCAGAAGCCTATAAACTGCTACAAATGTTACAGCCATGAAGAAATGCAGACATCAGGTTGAGTGAAATCTGTCAAAGAAAACTGATAAATAATTTCTTGACATTCAACTATCAAATTTCCTTTTTGTGCCTTCAGTATTGGTAATGAGGTGCTTCCTAGACTTAGTTTCACTTTAGGCTGAACTCATTAATGCTTTTCCAGAGCTTCTCAATTACCTCGGACAGAAAAAACAAAACAAACAAAAAACCCCAACCAAACAAAACCCAAACTGGAAAATTGCTTTAGAGAATATTCATATCTTTGCCAGGTATCTGAACAGCAGAGGTCTGGAAAAGTTGACCTGAAAAGAAAGTAACCAAACCTTGCAGCTCAAGCTACTGTGTTTGTTTAGCAAGTGTTATAACTGGGTGCAACTCAATGGATCTTGAAGAGTGGTTTAAATCTGCTGGTAAATGTTGTGATTGAGTTTGTTCCAGTACTGACCACCTATATAGAAGGCTGCTACCAGTAAACTTAACTTCATTCACTGACCTTACAATTAATATGACAGTCTGGCACAGAAGTTTCTTTATGAAGCTTATCATACATGCAGTTGTCCTGCTCTTGTTCTGACCAAAATGCTAAGCATCAGAAAGCTTCACATCCAACTTGACAACAGAACCAGACACATGTGAATACTTACTGACAGATTCTATCAGGCTTCCCCTCCTTCATCAAAATATTTTCAATCTTTGTACTACTCATATTGCATGATTACATATTGCAAACACACACACGAAAAAAAGCTCAGTATCCTCAAATCTCAATGCTTTAAAAGTCTGAGTAGGAAACAAATGCCATGGCAGCAGTATCTGCATTTCATATGAACAAAAAACGGGTAATGGTGAGTTTCCATAGTACTCTATTAGTATACGACAGCAGCCAACAAGTTCCTAGATTTATGTCAGATACAGCTCTTGGACACTAGAGGCACTTGGAGAATATCAAAGAAGAGATAAAAGTATAGGTAATCACCATGCAGAAGCTAGCCAGATCTACCAAAGACCATCACAAATATATGCCTGGGGTTTTGACACAAACAATGGTCTTGTCTAAGACATACTACTGTTTATCTATTTAGCACAGGTTTCGGACAACCTGACGAACAAAGGATTTTCCAAGTATTGAAACAAAACACTTGACATTTCACTGTGATTCCCTAATTCCCAATCCTTCCAAGGGTTTCTGGTAGAAGGTTTGACAGTAAAGTAACTGAAGAATGAAATTATCAGGAAATCAGACTGCATAGTGACATAAAACACACTATGAGCCTAGAAAGGCTTTCTAAACTTTCAGATAGATATCAAGATCTTCTCACAATACCTAAAGGGCTTGGAAAGAGGGACAACTTGTGACGATCAAGTATCACTTTCAGTAAGAACACCAGCTTGTCCTGCTTATAAGGATGTATTTTGTGCAGTATCCTAAAGCTCACTGAAGATTCAGATATCTTTTGCAACGGTTGCCATGTTACTTTAGAAAACAGACTATCACCTATGTTTTGTTTAAATCAGGTACAGATTTACAAAAGAAGCATGAAAGGAATTCACCATCTGACAGCATCAGATGGCGATAGTAACCTTAATCTGGATTCATAAGTTATGGTTGCTTCCAAAGTATTATATTTAACAATAAAAAGTTATCTGGTATACATAGGACACATTAAACTATAAATGCTAGACAGATAGTGTTCACAAAAGCTTCTGGTTTCCTATATCAGAGTACTTATTGCACTTACCTCAACTGACTGAAGTTTTTCATCATGGAGATGAGGTGACTTTGGGTAAATATCAAGAAGATGAGGAGGATCATCAATATGTGTTCTTCTAATATGGTTTTTAAGAACTTCTTTATAATCAAATGAATCAAAGTTGGTTTTCCACAGTAATACCTGTAAGAAGCCATCATATCAGTAACTACTTGAAGCCTACTCAGTGACCAAAACATAACTATTGAGTGAAGTCTGTTATGACTAATAGATCACAGCATCGGAATGAGCCTGCTGTCACCACTTAGTGTGATCTCTACTGCAACACAGGCACTTCTCCAGAGTATCTTGTACTTCAAGTCTAATAAACGTGGTTCAAACTGTTTAAAACAAGAGCCTCTAAAAGATGTCTCAATAATCATAAATCAAAGTAAACTTCTGGACTTGACTTGACTGTGCTATGTTATTTTTCTGCCAAATCAAGGGATCATATATTATCAAACTTCTGTCCCTTATGAAGGCTTGCGGGTCAAATGAGAAAGTTTGAGGGGATAAGAGAAATGACAGAGTTCCACAGAACTGTAAAGGACCTGGTTCCAGTGTTTTAGCAATAAGAATCTTGTTTTCTGAACCTTTTCTGATTACATTAAAGGTAGAAACAATATACAGTCACACCATGTCCAAACGCAGAAGTACGACAGCAGAATGCAGAGGTAAGATAGCAGAAGGTAGTCTATCCAGCCTGATGGATAAACCAGGAAACCAAATCATAACACACAATACTGCTCTCATGTCACAAAACAACTGTGTATGTAAGTAATTTAATTAAGTTTACCACAAGCTTGCATGATTTATGTGATCTTTGTTACTTTAGGTGCTAAGGGAAAAAAGAAAATAAAAAAGGAAGTTCATTACACTTAGAAGATGGCAGTTTCCAGAAGTCCAATGTTGATTTTTACAGCTGCTCTCTGAATTAGAGGAAACAGATACGGGACTATGATCTGGTTTAAAATTACTTGTCTGTCCAGCCAAAAATATTTTTGGCAACCATTAAAAGTATTAATAAACCCTACATAAGCAGCACAAATCACAGATTTGCTCACAGAAATTCCAAGCAAACTAAATAATATTTTTAATATATTCCTAAGTAGCTGCATTGTTACAAGTTCATTTCAGGTTCAAACTCTGTCATTACTCTGTTGAGTAGAAAACCCCAAGTACGTAGGAGCCACAGTGTACCCATAAATGTGGACCCAAACTAACCCAGACATTAGTAACAGTGAAAGTGGGACGCATGGATCTTAGTACAAACTATATAAACCTGCCTCAGAACCTGGCACTTGCAGGACAGTTAGCTGTCAAATTAGCTGATTCACAGCAGCTCACTCTACTGTAAGAGGAAGGTCCTGCTTTCTCTCCTTCCTCTTCTCAGCTGTGGAGTTCCACTGCCTCCATCACCCAATCCAACAATATCCATAGTTATTCACATTTTTACGTGGCTTTTCCTCACTTTTTCAGGCTAATTTTCTGCTGCTTTAGCAATTCAAACTGGCTCAGCACTGAGTGTAAACAAGGGTATAGGGAGAAAGCAGCAGAAGTAGGACCTTCATCAGTGGTAAGCATTTGAGCTGCTTGAGGTCTACATGTTTCATTTTGCTCTAAAGTGGAAGGCCATGCCACTACAGTTTTGTTGTTACAGATAACAAAATTATTAAGAGTAAAACGAGCATGGAAACATCCATATATGCCTTGAGTAACTCAACTGCAATGCAAACAGTGCAAAAGTAACTATGTACAACCCTAAAAAAAAAAAATAGTTATTCTGTAAGGAAGTGTTTCCCTTTACATCAAGGCAGTCAGACACAATGAGTTGTCTCTTCTGTATGGTAAGAACCAAATTAACAGCACAGGCTACTACCTTCTAAAGGAATAGGTATAACTTTACTCTTTCACTTAAAAGTAAAAGGTCTTATGTCTTCCATGGAAGCAGGTAAATGAAATAATTTGTCATTTGCACATATAGTCAAGAAACATGAAGAACATGAACTTCAGAACTCTACATGTTCTGTTTTTTTTTGACTGAGGAAAGAAGCAAACAGGAAGAAACAAAAGTAGTATCCAGTGCTTGTTTAAAACACTTAATGTGCTTCTGAAGGTTTTAGCAGCTTTCAGCTGGCTCCACACCAACCAGAAAGAAACTTGAAACAAGAAGCAGAGATACTGGTTTTCCTTCTTTGACGGATGAAAAACAGATTTTATCTGTTGCGTGAAAATGTAATAGTCTTGAAATAGTACGTGTATAGAGCAACTAATCTGTGGTAGACTTACATTGAATTAGCTGCTTCCAACTAATGCTGTGGACAGACAGTATCTTTTAGATACCGCACAAGGGATAGAAGATGATACTATTATGGCCAGCCTCTGCTCATCAGCTTGACATTGCCAATCTGCCCGCAGAACTTTCCAAATTAATACACCCTACATTCACCGTAAATCAACTTAATTCTATCACAGTAAGCTGAGAAGTGGTCCCACAACTATTCTCCTGGGCAGACCTGGAAGAGGGCTGTGGACAGGTCAGCAAAAAGGATGTTTGTGGTACATGTGTGTATACACCAACAGAAAATGGACACTGAAGAACAAAGTTACTATAGATACAGATACATGTATAGGCAATCACCACACAACGGCTAGCATTGCACATTTTGAAACTTATAATACAAAAGTGAAAGTTACAGAGAAATAAGTAGCCCTCTCCCACCAGAATGTTCACAAGAAAGAGGGAAAAACTTAAACAGACAAAAGTGTGCCTTTCTGTAAGGTAAATAAAACCACAATTTGTTACTAGATCTACTATGACTATTTTTTTAATTCAACATTTACCTAGGAAAGCATTTCCTGATGAAACTGGATGAGTCATGTTACAGATTTTTGTACTCACTCCATGAGTGCCACCAGCTCTACAGCATGGAGTCAGAGCAGGACAAAGGCAACGATATGACTGCACTGAACATGCACGTCATTCAGGGGGCCCCAAATTCAAAGAAACCTTGCAGCAAGACAGCATTGCCAGAGTATGCTGGCATTTATTTGGGAGGTTGAGTTAGGCTTAATACTGTAGATCCTTTCCATCATCATAGCTTCTCAGATGAATCTTCTGTTGTGTGACTTACTTTAATACATGCACTTCACTTCCTCTCAAGTTAAGTATAACTATACCATTGTCATAAAACTCGGAAGAAAGTACTCATGAAAAATAATGTCAATAATTCAGGATTACCTAGGAATTTTGGAACTGACAAATTCTCATTAAAAAACTCTTTAGTATCAAAAATTAAAGATTAGACTAGTGGCTCAAGGAATAAATATCTTTTCCCCATTCTTGGTTTTCTTTTCTGCTTATAAAATTAATATTGGAAGTTTGCTAACATTTCTACTTTTCCAATAACTTCAAGTCTTGGCACTGCTTCTTACTAACACCTTGTGATAGAAAGCAGTTTTAATTTTTTTCTTTGAGTGCTTTCAAGTCATTCTAGAATGTGTGCTATCTGAAGCGTCAAGTAAAAACCAGAAACAAACTGTATTCTTTCCAATTATACTGAAGTTTTTCATTGAAACTTATTTATTATTTCCCAAGACTGTCTCTGTTACTGGCTGAAACATGTTTCAAACTCCACAAAACAGAATATAAACAAGATTTATGGTGTAAAAAAAAAAAAAAAAAAAAAAAGACAAACCACCAAAACCCACACCACCAAAAAATCCCCTTTATTTCCACAGCATGGCTTTCTGTGCCTACATTAAGCTTTCAGCTTTTTATAACAGGGAACAGTGAAAAAGACAACTAATATTAAGGAAGTTTTCAGACTGTGAAACTCTGAGCCTTGGGCTACAAAAGTTCTTTCTTTTTGGAGAACATAAAACCTGATAGAGATGATTCCAAGCTTGACAGTATTTTTGTAACTGAGAGAGTTGTCACAGCAGATGAAGATTAATTGTATGATTTGTTGTTTAATCTAAAACAACTTTTTTGTTTTAAATGCTCAAACAACTCTTCCCTGTACGAAATCCAGTACTTTGTTGTTTCATCAATGTAAATTAGCAAAGCTAACACAAGATTTTTTTTTCCCCAGTAATACAATTTAATTCTTACTGTTACAGAGTACTGACTTTAAAACAAGTGAAAACCTAATAGAGCATGTAGGCGTTAATACTAGTTGCAACACAAGTACTTTTTTGACACTGAATTGCAACACTTAAAATATTTCTATTTAAAAATCATTCCTTTATTTTAATATGGAAACCAGGAGTGGCTAGTATTGTGGTCTTCTCATCATAACATCCAGTTGAAAGTAGTTAAGATCAAGTTCAAGTGATATAACTTTTCTCCTCAAATTTAACTTTAGGCTAAACAAAGTCTATATACCATACTACTAGAATGCATATCAGCATACTGTAAAATTAGAATGTTACTGTGACATACTATATTTAACTCCCATCCACTGTAACAAACATTAAGACATTTAATTTAAAGAGGCAATACCACAAACCTGAGCAGCTGCTCCACCTGAGGCAAATTTTTCACCACCTTTTGAAAAAGCCACAGAAAGTACAGGTCCCTGAAAGAATTAACATACAGTGAAATTATGCAATTACTGTAATCACAGTATTTTAACGCAAAGAGAAAAAAATCATGCAGTTATCTAATATAAATAGATTTTTCAATTTTAATAAAATAAGTAACAATTTGACTGTAGTGAAATTTTTGCTAAACAACTTGATTGAAGAGTTTGTAATCTTTGTAAAATGCTGCATTATGATTACTACAATCAATACTAGGAAAATAGAGGCATTTTCCATAGACTTCATGCTCTAACTCCGCAATGAAAAATTATCAAATATATATTACTCAAGACAATGTGCTTGAGTGATTCATCGTCAAAAGTAAGTTTGCTTTGCATTAAGAGGAAAGGGAGAAAATGGCTGCCTTTCTTCACAAAAGTTATCTTCCATAAGCCTCTCCCTCTTTAGAAAGCACAGTTTTTCAATAGACAAAGACTACACGTGCCAAATTGATACTGACAATCAAGACAGTGAATCATTAATTAATTCAGAACACGCTCTATTACTTAACATTAAGCATGTATACAACATTGACAGATTAACTGCATGGTTGTAGGTAAAACTGATGCATTTCCTTATGCATCTGTGACAAGGTGTATTAATACAACACTTTGCTGTCCACTAAAGTTTATCTGCAAGATATAAGACACAATAGCATAAATGTTACTTTCTCTTTGAAAAGATACTGAATATTCTATTAAGATATCCATTTAAATAGAATTATTGTGTATACCTTGTGTCCATGAAGAGTGTAAATAAGTCTTCCTTCTAAGAGGTCCAAAATCTTAAGGGTACCATCAGTAGAAGCAGTGATGAGATAGTTACCAGAAGGATGGAATGATACACAATTAACCCCTGCTCTGTGAACTAATTTACAGAAGACAATATTCAAAGACTGTAGACTAACAGGAAATGCACACTTCATTTCTTCACTCTTTTCTACTTCCCAAAGAACAACCTCCTTCATTTAAGGGAAACACAACCAAAGTGCTGGGGCAAAGAAGACTCTCCAAAGTATTATTTTAGTTCTGTTCTAAAAAATTGAGAGAAGCATTGCAAAGGAATAATTGGGATTCAGATTGGATTTTTAGAGTTACTAGATTACAAAAAGATTACTTACAAAATGCCAATATGACCTGTTTGTCCACTTTCCCCAGTAAGGAATGAAATCTTATGTTCTAAATAAATCACATTTCCTTGCATAGAACTCTGTTCTAAAGAAAATACAAACTACATTATTTTTACCTTTGTAATGCTGCAGTAGCTTGTTCATTCGAATATCCCACAGTTTCACCGTGTGATTGGAACCTGCAGAAGCTATACATGTACCACTTGGGTTGAAATCCACAAAATTTGCAGATCTAAGTATAATTAACGAAAATAGATTGATTATGTATTTCCACAGAAATATTTTTGTGTGTGCATATACATAAAACATGACATTAACACTGAGTTGCTACAAACTTGTGTTGAAACCACATGTATGGAATCCCAAATAAGGTATTTCAAGCAACTGAAATAAGCATAAGAAAACAAGATGCGCATGACAAATTAGACTGTATAATCTGGCTTTTGTTAAAAAGATAGTATAATTGTCCTGACTCAAACCTTCACGGTTCATGTTGGATTACAAAGCTCCTAGAAGAAAGTGCTGCAAAGAGCTTGTAAGCAGCAAGTAAAATATCAGAATATCTAGCTATAACAAACTTGTAGCTTGGAAAAAGGATAGAGAAGGCATCCACGAAATTAGCTAAGCACATATACAAGATTAATATTCTGATTGTTAATTAAAACTCTGGTTCCAAGATGCTAAAGAAAACGGCAGATAAGAAAAAGCAACTATTTTCTAAATCTGAACAAGGCAAGTCACTGAAGCTAACAGAATACTGTTTTCATCAGTAAGAGGAGAACATTTAAACTTCTCTTCTTGTTGAAGCACCCAATATCAGAAGGGAGACTTATCAAAAAGGGAGAAAAACATGAAATGTTCAAAAATTCAAGAACAATCTGATTTTTCTCTGGCTTATTTCTTGACTGTTGGAAAACGCAGCCAGCTAACATCTTTTGAAAAACGTGAAACTAATTGTTTTACTTCACATGGGTGGTAGAAGTTTGATCTGTTTTCAGATATAACATACATAGACATTAATAGCACAAAACATTAAATTAATCTCATTAAAATTACACCTTCACATTTCTCCTTTTTTCTAGTAACACTTACCCTTCATAATCTGAGAAGCTATCAATACAAGTTTTATTTCTCGTATCCCAGATCTTCACAGATTTATCCTCACTGCAAGATGCTATTAATCTTCCATCAGGTGAAAATCTGGAACATGAGAACATATGCATTACTGAACAACTGCTGCTACCTAGATTAGCATTAGAGACAGAAGCAGCAAAACAACAGAACCAAGAAAGCCTGTTTGGAATTAAAATGTGTAACATTCAAAGGACATTTGAATTTCTCATGCAGTAATAAAACTGAAAAGAAAAGCTTCTCCCCCCACCCCTCCCCTCTCCATTTCACAGTCAACTACAATTAAAAACAGAGCCATAAGCAAGAGAAAGAGCGGGGGGGGGGTTGAGGGGGAAGGTAACAGCAGCCCAAGGTTGTCACTTCAGATGCCAAAGAGATTATTATAGAAAACTATAAGCAAAAAGACAAAGAGGACACAGTAGAACCTTGTGTTCAATTTTAACCTACATATATATTCTCCCATGAGTTCTCTCTAGACTTACAAACTGTCAGCAGAAAATTCATGATTATTCCTAGACTAGCAGACTAGGTTTTTAAACGGGAAAATAGATTTGGCTATAATTTCACCAATCATTATTATCTCTCACATGGAGCAACTGCACAAGGACATTAGAACACTGTTCAAGAACTTCCACATACAATTTCCTAGAGCTTTTATGTTTCTTTTCAATGATCAGATACTTTGGAACTTTGTAGGGCTCTGTACTTCACCAGTGTTAAATTTCTCCCTCAAGAGATTTAAATCAGGCCTCTCTTAGCTGTGGAATTTCCATTAATATATATAGAAAAAAAATATCAAAGAACAATCTTTTTTTGTCTTTGAAGAGCTGCTGTGCCTATAAATAGAGTGCAAATCTTAACTTGCAGCACAAAGGCCATTTCTTTTACCTTTTCCAATTGTGTAAGCTTAACTCATTTGACTCATGACCATTCTTTTATGCCACTACTGCTCCAAGAATAGTTGAGAATAAATCTAGAAATAAGTGAATGCTGTGAAATAAGCTAATACAGCACTAAAACATAGAAGACTAGGGAAAGGCAAAATACTGACTGAAATAAATACAGAAGAACCTATTTGTCCTTTAAAGTAAAAGCATTAACACCCAGCAACAAATTTAATATGTACACATATTAACACAGGGCAAGTTTTCACACTTCAACTAGGAGGTACATATAAAACCAGTGCATGTAAGATTGATTTATTAAAATTTCATTATTAGCGATCAATCACCATTCATCATTCACAGATTTTTCTTCTCTTAGTTCTGTCCTGGGAAATAAACACCCTTTCTTAGGAGTTCTGCTTCTTTACAAAGAGAATAAAAACAACGCTTACTTGGCACAGCAAACCCAATGAGTGTGTTGGAATAAGGAAAACAAAAGGCGCTGATGACGAACACTCCATATTTTTATTGATTTATCATTGGATGCTGAAACTAGAAAATGACCATCATGTGAGAAGCTCACGCTACGAACAGATGCTGTATGACCTTTCAGTACTGATGATTCTCCATGACTAGGGAAAAAAAAAAAAGAAAAAAAATACCACAAGACACGAAACACAATTATATGACACTGAAAGAGTTTAAAACCCCATAAAACTCAAAGTTAACATTATTTGGAATCTTATCCAAATGAAAAAGCAACGTATAAAGGCTAAATCTTAGTGTTGCAAATATTTTTTGCCTTATTTAAATATGAATTATTAGAATAACAGACTCTACAACAATTGTAATTAATATGACCAATTTTAGAGAACAGTGCAATTAAGTAGCAGCATTAGCCTCCATACAGTATTTGAAAGAGAATTTATTATATATTTTGATGCAGTAACCTACAAAATGCTTAAAAGTTAAAGTAACACCAGTTTTTCTAAGACCATTCTGAATAGCTTGTAATCAGTAGTACTTGAGAAGAGTAAAAAGGCAAGTCAATTAAAAATATTTTTATTCTCTAAAATGCTAATTTTTGTTCCCTTTGTCACTTGTCTCCCCAAAATGAAGTGCAGCCATGCAATCCTTATTAAAAGGAATACATCCTCTAAGCCAGTGACTTATGCTAGTCCTACACACATGAAATTATGACTTCTGAATTGCTATATTTTTCTTCCGAAACTACAGAATATTCAGTAAAGAACAAAGTAACGCTGTAAAGAACCGTGTTGCCTGTGATCCCCAATTGCTCTTTCTGTCAAAGCCCAGGGATGTAGGAAGGAAAGGGAAACTTTTCTTGAGTAAAGACTCCAATATTCACATTGCACATGAACGAAACACATAGCCAGCATCAGCCAGTTATACTCACATGCAAGGAATCCATAGTCTGACAGTACGATCTTGAGAAGCTGAAGCAAGTAGCTGCCCATCTGGTGAGAACAGTACGCTGGTCACCGCTTCCACATGGCCTACAAATTTATAAGCTCTGCATTGTGTCTTCAGCTTCCACACCATAAGAAACCTATCCAAAGAGGAGGTAGCTGGCAGGAAATAAAAGATATTATGAGTCCGCTCACTGTTATTAGAAAAATCAGAGCTAGTGACTACGGATTTGGATTCACCAGTGAACTTACTGGGTACTAGGGGGATGGAGTAGTTATTGGGTTTTCATGGATACTTGGCCTGAGCATAAGCCTGGCAGCCAGCAATGCCAACACCGGACTTTTGGAAGGACATCAGAAGACTGGGAGGAGTAAAGGATAGTTCTTAACAGGTCACTCTCACATATATTAAGCAAACTGTCTTACAAGAATAAAAAAATCCAAAGCCGAACATCACTCACATGTCATTAAGTATGAATCCAGTTTTGGTATTACCAAATACAAAGAGACAAATTCTCCAGTGATCTCACTTTGATCTCCGAGATGGAACTTGTTTCAAGCATCAAGTGTTTAACTCTGATGACACTGGCCAACTCAAACCAGAGATATAATTTCTAGCATTTCCGGTATCTATACTAAAGTGAATATCCAAATATGGTAATTCTGTAATCCTATTTAAGTAACAATTTTTTTAATACTAACATTTGTCTAGTTCCAAACACAATATGAAGTTTTCAGTCTGATAATAGAAAGAGCATGAATGGTTTGGGGTTTCTTTGCCATCACTTTACAGGTAAACCATACTACCTACATTTAGGAAGCCAGACATAGCTTTTATCAGAGCTTGATCATTTTCTGGAAAATAAGCACCAAAAGCAACGAGCAGCTTAATTAAACTGAAGAGTGTGATATTCCTACACCCTTATTATCTTCATCTCTGCTAAGTGCTAGCACGGAGAACAAATAGAAACAAGGGATTTACACTCCCATCCCTCAGCTATAAAATTCCTACCCCTAGTACAGAAAGGGAGGGAGAGGAAGAACAGGGACCTCCTGGAAGTTGAAGATGACATGAAAAGGATGTCTTCTCCCTTCCCAGCCTCTTTCAGGCACCAACATAGCACAAAGGAGTAGACTATTTACTAGCACATGTGTCAAGGCAAGCCTCCAACAAAATATTAGATACTAAACATTAGGAGTTTGGCACAGAGATGATATTTTAATCCCAAAAAATTAGCTCCTGGTAAAAGATGTGGGACCAGACTATCCCTATGCCCATATCAAAAGGCCTAAATTTGACACAGAGGTACATGACACTTTTCCCTCTACATATTTTCTGAACTCTATTTTACAGCAGGCTCCTTCTAATTGTACTTGAATGATGTCTTTTTCCCCCTTTGATTCAGAAAAACGTGACCCAGAGTGGCATAAAACGGAAAGGAAAAAGTTAAATGTAAGCTAAAATAGAATTTGAAGTCATCACATTGGAAACATGGAACAGACAAGGTCAATGGTTTCTAAAACAAATAATGCACAAACTACCAAGTACCTGTGGTACCTCACGAACGGCGCGAAGGCCATGTAATACCAGTTCTCTTTGCTTTCAGTTTTAAAAACTGAAGGAAATATTTTAAATTATGACAGTACAATAAATTCAAAGCCTGTTTTCTTGCAGCTTGCTCTCTCACAGATCAATTATCCCAAGGTTAGTAAGACACCAGCAGTGATTTGAAGTTCTCCTTTCCCTGGGACATCCACAAGCATCTTCCTTGTTCTCCCTCTGGACTCCCTGTTGCCTATGCTCACACAGCATCCTCTCCCCATCCTTAGGTATGTTTTTCTCTTGAAGCCACCCGCTCAATACCATGACACTCAAAGGCTATTACTATTTCTGATGCTGCAGTTCCAGCCAAGCTGACACCACCCCAGGGGTGACAGAGGGAAGGAGTTCAGGACCTGCACAGCAAAGGGTGAGTAACTGTTGCAGAATTGTTTTCCTAAGGCACACAGGCTGATGTGACTCTGTATCTGAACAGCATGGCAAAGGTAAAAACCCAGACAAAGGAACTCTAAGCCAAGCCAAAACTCTGAATATACATTCAACCAGGGCCCTTATCCTGCCAAGGAAAACAGGTCCCTCTACCGTTAACAAGCCTCAGCCAAGCCAAGCTATTCCCTATTCAAGCATGCTGAAATCAACTTTGGTCGGTATGGCCAACGCCTAAGCACTTCGCTGTAACAGTAAACATTTTGTCTTAGCTAACCACAGGCACTAAATACAAGAGTCTATAGGGTAATAATGTTGCCAGCAATAATTTCCATATTAATCTTAAACAGTTTTATACATGAAAAATCAACTATGACAATTATCATATAAAATCCTCTATTTCTCTTTTTATTCCATTTTAAAGGACTTTGCCTGCTTTATAACAATGCTTCTCTGATTTACTCAAGCACAGTCTCTTAAGGATTCCTTCTAAATCCTTTATGCATTTTTAATCCCCTGGAGTTTATTATGTCCATGCACTTAAGTGTTCAAAAGGAGGGGAGCAAAAACCTTCCAGGACAGATTACACTCGGGGTCCTACAGCAATGCAGACCAGACCCAGTTTGATGCATTCCGTCACCACTTGCTAGGTATGTCAGCACCCTGCAGTCTGACTTTCAATTGGTAAGTGGTCCACAACAGATCTCCAAGGCTAACTTAAAGTATTGGAACTGAAGCAAAAGCAGCACAAAAGGTCCAGAAGACTTTTTTGGGACAGGCCATACCACAAAGACATCTGTTGCACATGCTGCTTCAAGAAAACACAACATAACCAGAACCATGCTTAGAGGTGAAAGACAAAATTTGTCCTTGCTGTAGTAATGAAAATATATGATCAACCGCAAAATATGACTAGAAAGAAGCAAGCTGAAATTTCACACTGAGCTGACTCCAATATACAACTTAGTCCAGTTTATAACATCAGTGGGGTGGTGCTTTTTTTTTTGGTTTGCTTCGTTTTTTTGGGGTTTTTGGGGTTTTTTTATTTTATTTTTTTTTAAATGTCAGTCCTTTCTGTACACACCCAAGTATCGCTGACGTATCTCTAGGTAATTTGTTTTTCTTGTGATGAGTCACAACAGAACTGAACACCAAAGAATAAAGACTTGGCCTTGTGCAAAAGCCAAGTTTAAACATCGCTTTGCTGCAGTTCTCTAAACAGATATCTGGGCTTCACATATGCCAAGAAAATTTTTTTTATAGTATTTGCAATGAAACCATGTTCAATTTGTAAGTTGTTAATATTGACATTATACAGGTTGCCGCAACGTGGAATTACCATTGCACTCCCTTTTCCCAGAATATCACAGAAGCGACTACAAATTGTCCAAAAGATCAGAAAAGACATACTCAGCCAGGCTTTAACAGCTAGATGTACCCCTTGGTCACCCTTTTTTACCCCCAAACACTGAAGCATCTCCAATACAATTAACTCAGTGCAAGAATTACAGGTCAGATGAAGTACAGGGCTGTGCACATGAGGTGTGTGTAAATATTCAAACACCACCACCACTACAAACCCCACTCACTTTACAGGAACCCTGCAAATCTCAGTGAAGGTGCAATGTGTCACAATACAAATACATTTAACAGTGATTTGCAAGAGTTCTTACTTGGAGGAAAACAATTATTAATTGAACCTCTGTTAAGGGAACCACTCCGGAATTCCAAGCAAGTGGATAGATAATAAGGAACTTTTAGTAACTCCCATAAGGTCAAGATTGTGCCAGCTTTTGTGGTATACTGCATGCACTCACACAAGTTGAAGAGAACTGAAAAGACTCAGCACGCTAGCCAACATTTAATTATCATTCTGCATTTTATTTTTTCAAAAGAAACCCCAAAGCCCTCCCATATTTATTCAGTGTTAAGTTTATACTCAGTTTCTTTTAAGTTACTTAAAATCAGTAGTTTAAAATATATACAAGTGTTCTCCAAATTTACACAGTCTAACAGAACAGAAAATCTTTCGGAGTTTCAGATTTTCTGGAAGTCTGTACACCTTGAAAAGCTACTGGATTTGGGTATTTCTGTAGAATTGCTGCAACTCAGTTCAAAACCAGTGGAACTTGAAGTTGCAAGGGTTTTTTTTCCTTCTTTCTTTTTCTCTCCTTCTCTCTCCTTCTCTAGCCTCTCCCTCCCACCACCTTTTTATTCCCATTGGGAAGAAATATAATATTTTTATTTATTTATTTTTAGGGCCAGATTATTTACTTTTGCTTTTTTTTTTTCTTTTAGTTTTTAAATAAAACCACAAAAATAGAATTGGAGGTAGTGGGGAGAGGGAGGAATGGTTCAGATACATACAGAGAGAATAACTTTTCGAACTTTGAAAGGCAAACTCACTTCGACTTATTGCTTAAATAGATAAGGAACACTTTGTCAGTTTTAACATGAAGGTAGTTCTTGATATGAAATGTAGTTTTTGCCAAGTCCTAAAAAAGTTAATTGTATAAAAGTTGCATAGTCTATATTCACACCATTTAATTACTTTCATCTGAGAAAACATGCATTGCACATACAACTTACGCTCTGCCATGTAGGAGAACCCAGGCCTTTTCCCTGTCATTTCTATTGAATGTAACAGCCTACAGCAAGCTTTTCACAAAAGCACATACTTTATATAATTTATTGCCCCAGTACATACACATAATGACTGGCTGCCTTTTAAAATTTGATAAATGGTTCGTAACTTGTAGGTCCACGAAAGAATTCCTTGCTGCAGAGTGGAAAGGAATTTTTCAGGAATGTCTCCCTTATATAGTAAAGAAGTTCCCTTTTTTAAAAAAAAAAAAAAACAACAAACCACAAACTTCGGAAAAAAAGAAAAAAAAAAAATCAAATTGCAAGTAACCTTCTAAAAATAAGTTAAAGACTTAACACCACCCATGCCACACAGTGGCAAGCATTTTTAGCATAATTCAACACTACATCCACAGCTCCAAATTCTCTTCTCCTTAGCCTGCTTCCACACGAACCTCTCAACCCTTTAAAACCACCAAGATTCAAGAACATTAAGATACATCTTAATCTACTCTTGCTTGATTTTTGGCAAATCTTCACTTATTTCAGGTCTCACTTGCTTCCTTTTAACCCTTCTACCTACTAACACCTGCAGCAAATGCCCACCTACTACACTCCTCAAGTATCCAGATTTTTATTGCTGACTAGCTCAAATGCCTACCTACCAGCCCCACGTCAAGAATTACTACACTGTGGTTACTGAAGAGCATCTATCACTTCAGTGAAAATAATGAAAAAAGCTGGAATGCCCGAAACAGTAAGGTAAGTGTTCAACTTAAATCATATACAGCTAAAAAACACAGATACCGAGACAAGACTTTTTTTCAAGTACACAATATACCTATCACATCTACTGTCTGTAATCACACTCAAAACAGATTAGTGACGTGATTCGAGAATCAATATTCTTCAAAATTCAGCATAATAGGATACAGAAAACATTCTAAATAAGTTGTTCTGTGAACCAGCTAACCAACAAATCTTGGTTTCCTCCAAGCTGCCCTTTGCCTTTTCAACTCACCTCCCTTCAGGAATTCCAGCTTCCCAACCTTACCCAAGGTCTCACATGGCACTACTGCGATAAGAAAGAGGTAGCATATGCTGCATTATTTCAAAACTCTACCTAGGGCTGATGTATGTCAGCTGTTGCCAAAATACATACCGTGACACCAGGAAACTGCAGAATATTACAAGGCTTAAAATTCAACTGTCCATGTCAATGTCAATTCAGTAACATGCTACTGTAGCATTACCTAGGGTGTTAGATACACATTATAATGTATCTGCAACATAGGGCAGTTAATTGGGCTGCAAGAACCTTAGCTTTTACTTCTCCAAGTAAAGATTCTCAACCTTCATGTAACACTATCTTGCAAGTTTAATGTGTATAATTATTTTCTTTAAGGAAAAAAAAATCCTTCCTCAGTCCACTCACTCCAAAGCCTTTGTTTTACCATAATCAAGACAGACCAAAGTAAGAAAATAATGGATCAAAATTTTACAAAAATAGAAGGCATTAGATCTATATTCAACATTTTAGAAATTAAACCCCAGTATTTACATTTGCTTTCCATACAGTTCACCACAGCAGATATAGTTTCCACACCACTACAGACACATCTGGTGTCATTCCAAGGTATACAGTCAAACACTGCTATCTGCTCACACACGTAAAAACCTTGGAGATCAGAGTCCATTCGATTCATACTACCAGCAGTGGTTATTTCTCAAATTTCCAAATTTGATTTTTATCTCCAGCATTACAAGTTGCCATTTGCACATCAGCACGCCCCCCAGTTGTACGATAAGCAGTAAGGCACTTTCCCGAATGAGGATGATAAATAGTCCCATCTTCTCTGAAATGCCATATAATAATCTCTGGGACAGGAGACCCATCTTTTGGGCAGCTCCTCATACCTATGAAGTCTTCATGCTCAGGGACTTCAGCACATAGCTCAGTTACAGAGTTAAATCTAATCTCCTTATTTGATGTGTATTCAAAAAATTGATTGCCTCCCTGACCATGACATCCAAAGAGAGAAAGGTGAGCCCCAGTAGGATTATGTTCTGGTAAGACGTAGTCAAGGCATTCTGAAGCTATTCCTGCGCTGCGGATAGCACCGTGCCAACCAGGACGATCTTCTGGTATATGCAACTCAGCAAATACATTTTTTAAATACCAGCTAAAACTCTTGCATTTCAAACGCTCTCTTAGTATCTTTCTTTCAGAAATATCTCCATAGTTTTCTTTTCTTGCTGAAGGATTTCTGTTGTAAAACTGCTCTTTGTACTCGTCCATCCACACCTCAGCAGCACGCACCGTGTTCTGAAGGAAATTCGGTCTAGCATAGGGTGCACGCTTTGGAAACACATGGCCCACGTGGGAGCACGGATGAATTTCCAACATGCCCCCACACTGCCAAACCCTAAACGATAATTCTAAGTTCTCCCCTCCCCAAACATCCATTCCGGTATCGTAGGTGCCCAGATACTCAAAATACTTCTTGCTGACAGCAAACAAGCCACCAGCCATAGTTGGGGACCTGATTGGGTCAGTTTCAGATTTGCGTCTGAGACGTTCATGTTTAGGCACCAAGTGCCACTGGAACGTCAGCCGCCAGTCAAACCCCCCAATCATGGGCTCTGCCGTTTGCATGTAGTATTCAAATGTTTTCCAGTCAATGGTGTCGATGACAGGACAAACAATAACAGTCTCGTTCTCGGCAATCCTCTCGAGCAGTGGTTCCAGCCAGCCAGAGACACATTCACAGTGGCAGTCTAGAAACGTGAGGACATCACCAGTAGCAAAGGTAGCACCAATTAAGCGTGCACGAACCAGTCCTTCCCGTTTGTTGGTTCTTATCAGACGAACTCTTTTCAGGCTGCTTATGTATTTTTCTAGTTCAGTCTTCAAATACACTTTATCACTCAAGTCATCTACCAGTATAATTTCTTTTAGAAGCACTGAAGGTGATGTTTCAAGAACACTATGTATCGTCCGCAGCAACGTTGACCAGGCTTCATTGTAAAAAGCGATTATAACAGACGTTGTGGGCAGTCTTCTGTAGTCGAAAGATTTAGTTTTACAGCCACTCAGTCGGTTATCTTCAATGTGCCGGTGGAGAGAGATTTTATCACTCAAAAAAATATTAATTGCATACTTCTCAATCAGCTCTTCTTCCTGTTTCTTTTCCTCCGGACTCAGCTGCAGATGAGAGGACTTACCCCATTCTCCTGGGGCATAAGGATCAGGCGGGGATTTGTCATAAACTGGACGAGCCAAATCCACAGCCTCTTCTGCTCTGTCAGAGAAGCGCCTCTCCCATTTCCCTTTGGTGATGCTCTCCCCGGCGAGGGAGGCACCGAAGGAAGAAACCGACAGCTCGACCACAAAGTAAGCGAGCATCAAGAAGCCGAGAAACACGCAGCTTTTGCGGACCCACGTCCATCTTCTCGCCAGACGGATCCTCATCGCAGGCGATTAAAGGCAGCTCGCAGCAGAAGGGAGCTGCGGGAACTACTGCTGGCTCCCCCCGCGCCCCCAGGACGGAGAGGGCTGCGAGCACTCCCACCTTCGGGCTCCGGCCGCCGGCCGAGTTTGCAGGCAGCCTCTCCGCAACGGGCCCAGGGGTTTCCAGGGGGGAGCGGGGGGAGCGAGGCAGCAGGGGAGACACGGAACAACCCCCCGCCCCTCGGCCTCAGCGCTCCCCTCACTTACTTCCTTCTCCACCTCCTCCTCCTCCTCCTCCTCCTCTCTCGCCGCGGGACAAACCCCTCCTCCCGCCTTGTGGTTTGCTCAAAAAGTTGTCGCTTAAAGAAGGGGCAGAGACTCCTCGGCCCGCCCGGCCGGCGCGGGAG